ACGAAACATGGGAAAATACTGATACGTTTTAGCATTCCTATTGCTAACACAAGAAGATCTAACCATTTGTACCTTTTGCAAGTAAAGAATATACTATAATTAATTTTGTGACATATTTAAATATGAGAATAGTACAGATAGGTTACAAAATAATACAAATTTTGTCTGAGAAACTGAAGTTGCTAACGACCATGTCGCCTATCTGCCTCCTTGCCTCCAACCACTTTCTTGAGGCTGTTTTCCACGTACCAGGATTTGGTCGCTGTCGCTTCGTGTAGCGATAGCTTCTTGTCAACGTTCGTCGCGCCCGGCGGTTCTTCGTACACTGCAACCACGCTTATATAAGCTCTAGATTAACTGAAAACTCTAGCTCGTTAGTGATTTTCAATAATAGCAGTTATGATTACCGCCGAATGTTCATAAATTCGTTTAATAAACTTGCCGGGGGAAAAATATTGAACTCGTCTAACAACAATCAATAAAATCATTTTATTTGTTGCCACGAAACATTTCATGATCAACAAAAAAAAAAAACACAGAACAGTGAGGTCGGGGTATAGTGAGAGCAGAGTATATTGTGGAAGTTTAGGTTTATAGAAACCGATTTTAACTGAGAGTAATAAACCGGTAAAATTTGTTTTCGGTTTTCCCAGTTTTGGGAGTGAAGGAGTTGGAATTTGTCCACTTTTGGCACGCCAAATTACCAATCGCAAGATATTTGTATAAAACCTTTTTTAAATATTAGGATGTACTATAGCACCAGAATTTTATGTTGAATGTAACCAGCGTGAATGATGGTTGCTCGGACGCTGATAAGCGAAACACAACATTTGCAATCTGTAACTCGCTACCTACCTTAATGGCATCAACATGTATCAAGTGTATTTTGGCTACTTACAGGAGAGTCAAATTAATGTCATTTAAATCGTTTTGTAGGGAAAACAGAGAATATCCTATAAACCAATGTTTATAGGATATTAAATTATGATACTAAATTATTATTAGGTACATTTTATTTATTTTGTCAATATAAGTATAAAATGTAGTTAGTATTACCGGAATGAACCAAATAGAATAGAATATTGGAATAAATAAAAAAAATGTATGCCGTAACAAAAGAACTTGAGATAAATATATAATATAATTGAGATAAATATGTATTTGAGTAATTACTAACAAAATTTTACCATTTTCATAAACGTTTAAGTGTAAATTAATGAAATAAACAAGATAGAAAATTAGAAAAAACAAAATACTTAGGTCATAATAAATTTAATCTGGATTTTCTTTAAACTAAAATGTTAACACATAATATTTTAAGTACTGTCACGTGTCACTCAAGTTATTATTTTTTTTATGAACATTTTCGAAAAAGCATTTTTTAATTGGGTTTTAGTAACATAAAAATGAATTACAATAATATGTCAAACTATAAAAATATAAAAATTTCCCCAAAAAAAAGTACTATAAAGAACCAAAAAGCTTAAACGTCAAGTTTAATTACATTATAATCATGCCATAGGTTTCTATTTTTGTAACAAAAACCAGCGTAGGTACACATATTTTACAGGATTGTTCTGCAAAAAGTTATAATAGTTATAAAATATACATTATAGTTACAGTGTTCATTTAAATCCCCCCCCCCTTAAGTTTTGAATATATTTTTTCGCTGTGTTTAGTGTTGTTGTAAGAACATTGTGATATAAGCCTCACTGTATTAACTCAACAAAAAGTTCATATTTCTTTTAAACATTATTTCTTAAGAGGACACTATCCACATCCAACTCAACCGCTAAAAAATGGTTTTGCGAGGGACAAAAATGTAAAGGCGGTATTTACAGTAACCGTATAAAATGTTTACAATGAATATTAAAAAACCTTATCTACGGTGTAGCGTTTTTAGCTTATTCATAACTTAACCATAATTAAAATTATTTAATCGTGAAGATTAATTTTTTTTCAATTGTTTTTAATTATATTCTGGCCTCACATACATGTCCCGCCCAAAGCAGTTTTGATAGAAAAAATTGTAATTTACCCTACAAAAATGACTGTGATGGTCTGAAAAAAATGGCATTCAATAAAGTATCCTCATTACTTTAGAAATAAATAAACATTACAGTTAAAACTCTAAATTAACTTTATAAATAATTGCCTATACTTTACCCCTTAGAAATGGACAAAGTAGCGATTTTAAAGGGTTCTATATAGGCAATATTTAAGGAAATTGGTTTTAATAAATTTCGACCGTGTCAATTAATTTCCCGGCTAATTAATATAAGCTCCGAGGTCATATTTTTAATTAATACATTTTGTTCTATGGGAAAGCCATTTTGGTTTATTTTAGACCTTAATTCAGGACAAAATTATTTTACTTAGAATAATTTAGATGGAAAAACAATCAAATATATTGTTAACAAATGCTGTGCTAGGAAGCTTAATGCAAAATATAACAACGATAAAGGATTAGTTAAGTTTTCTCAATTCTGGAATTATAAATGTATCTAAACAAGTTATAGACATAATTTTAATGTTCTGTCTTTCATGGTTTTATGCAAATGTCATTAGTTTCAATAAGTATAAAAAATGTTATCTAATTTTAATCACTATAAAATGTTAATACCTGACACTTTTTGTATGCATTTTTATTATTGTTAACAATTATCTATGTTTTGTGACAGTTTAACTGCCCAAGGTAAAAGTAATTCACTCATAAATCATATTATTTTATATTAATAGTATCATAGTTCGTGGATAGTGTACTCAAAGAAAATGATTCATAACAAACATGTCAGTTGTCACATGTTTAATATTATTATAGTTAATTAATACTAGGTTTACTCCTCTTTTATAATAAAAATTCAACTAACCATTAGTATACAATTATAGTTTTCTCTCTTAACGAGTCGCCAAATTATACTATTACAATTAAATGTATTCGATTTTAACATCAATTAGTTATAGTATTACATTCTAATTTTAGCTGTATTTTGTAAATGTACATTTCATTAAATGAAATTCTAATTTTTTTTTTTTAAATTACATGTTTGATATAGATACAAAAATACTTTATATTTCATAAATTTAATGGTTTCATAGGCTGTTGACTGTTCATCAATACTTCTTACGAATACAAATATATGTAATAATTAAAAAATTTGTATAAAATTCATTGATTGGTTCATCATTTAAGTATTTTATGAATCGTCAAGAATAAAAATAATACACATCACATATTTATAAATATAGGTGTTATTATTTTACGCTGGAAGTCTAACAAAAGAAAGAATTGATAATATTACACAGTTCCATAAGCGAAACATAGATACCGCACTTGTTAATTTTTTTATTAAGTCAGTCCCTGAATTTTTTGAATGTACTGTATATATATATAATACAACATAATATATACATATGAATATAACACAATGCAATAACTTGATTAAATCAGTAACAAAAAAGAAAAATACAACAAAGGTAACAGCCAATTAAAGAAATAAGCGCTATACATGATAAAATAATTTTATGTCATTTTGTATGACTAAAGCAAAAAATATGTATGGGTACATAAATATGTATATTAGAGGACCTTTTTTTTTTTAGAAAATTGAAGTTAACGCCTAAAGTATCAAATTGTGAAAAAATATTTGGAATTCCTTATTTCAGCGAGAAGCCTTTACTTACGCTTGGTCGCAAATGGCATAAAACATCATTCGAGTAGATTGACTACCTAATATCAACAATACTACAAAATATTTCTCGTTTAAAAATCTGTAGCGAAATGTTATTGAATTAAGAGTGGTCGTAAAACCATATGAGCATGCACAGACCGAGTTGCGATGACTTTATCTTAACTGAATGCATACATAAATTAACAGACCTCGTAGCAGCCTATTTATAAATGATTAAATCATTATTAAAAAAAACAAGAGTTAACTCTAGAATAAAGTGAATATGTTTATATTAATATTTGGCGATAGATTTTTAAACAGGAAATATTTTGAATATTTTTGAGATTCGGTTGTCAATCCTCAAAAAAGATATTTAATATCATTGACAACAAAGCCTTAGGTAAAGGCTTCTTGTTAAAGTGGAAAACGAAAAGAGCAAGAAAAAAATCCAAAAAATATTTTTTCACAATTTGAAGCTTCTTTTAGGGACATCGACTAAAAAAAAAAAAATTGGACCACCCTAATATACATGTACACACTCACACGTGAAAAATATACACACAGACGGTACTAAATCTTTAAACGCCATAATTAAACCCTTACTTTCAATTCATATGGTTATTTATTTAATTAACATTCTATATGTAGAAATAAAAAAATACAAGTTGGTCACAACTTATTTATTAGGAGAATATATTATATAACTATAATTAAATTAAAATGAAATAATATCACATAGAATTCAAAATTTGTTTTCATTGTAAAATATTCTTATAAGCATCAGATCAAGTCGCGTTAAATTAAAAAAAAAATAATAATACTAATTGCGACTTAACAAAATATTGCCACAATAAAAATAGAATACAACACAACAATAAATATTAATAAAATAATCTGTAAATATTAACGGCCGTTAAACCTTAGTTAAACGTTTACATTCTTATATCGCTGATGAAATATATAATATACATATAACAATGATATAGTTATAATAATAATAACATAAATAAAATAATAGTAGTAATAAAAATGAAACAACATCATAATATACACATATTGATATAATCCTATATATTATTTTATAATTATTTACATAATATATAATAAAAGACTAGTAAACATACAACACCGAATGATAATTTGTAATGTTTATCCCATTAATTAAGACATGTAATATTTAGTATTTATATCAATGATAAATCGAAATAATATGTAGCTGTTAAATAAAACAATTATCACAACATTTAAAATATAATATAATATAATTACAATGTTAAACATCATTATACTTATATATTTAAATAGATGCACAACTAAAAATGTGATTATATATATATATAAATAAAAAAACTAATAATAAAAACAAAACAAGATTATATACATAAATATAATAAATATTTAAGTTACGTTATATTGCAGGTAACGTAATTTTACAAACAACAAATTAGTTTAACCATTAAAGAATTTTTGGAATGTTTTTTTTTTAAATTCTAGTATATGTAGAAATTCTGCATAATACACACAACATCGAGACCATCTCACTGGGTAACCTGACAAAATTTGCATTCAATACAATTTTTTAGTTAATAGTTGTAATAAAAAATGTGTTTTCCTAAAACTTATATGTTTTCACTATACAAATTGGAAATCATTAAGAACTTTAGAGTTAAAGCAACAGTAATTTCTTTTACATAGTCTAAATAACATATTATTTGTTGATTTCCTCGTTGTCATCTTCTTCCATGGGTTCTTCCAAATGTTCAGAGCTTCTAAAAATAAAAACCAAAATTGCATAAAAACGTAATTAAAATTGTAATAACATGTGCACGTTATGGACATATTATAATTATTACATTACTTACTGAATTCGATGTCTGGTCATAGATAAAGAAGCCATTGCACTAACTGTATCGTTTTCTTCACAGAGCGTTGCTTCAACAGCACTACATGCAACGGTATTAATGAATTTTTTAAGAACGGGCCAGTGAGGCAACTAAAATTAAAAATTACAATTAAAACATAAATATCATAATACAATATTATCCCAGCAATAAATACTTGTATGGCAATAGTTTTTTGTAATGTGTTAACAGCATTTTGACAAGGAGCACGGTGTAGTTCTGATTCAACAATAGACGCCACATCTTCTTCGAGAAGCGCTCGGACACACTCTTCAGCACTGTCACAAATAGCTGTTAGATCGTAGCCTCCTTCTAATGACAAAACCACCTAACCAACACAACACGATCAGATTATGAATGATAATATAAAATATAGAATGGAAACAAACAAAAACCTTTCCATCAGCTATTTGCATGAGCTGTTGAGTCATATATGCAAAGCAAGCAGGAGTCACATTGTATCCACCGAGAGGAGCAGGATGACCAGATGCTGCATCAAACCCAGCTGATACAAGTACTATTTCAGGCGCGTATTCCTGTAAAAAAATAACAATAATAACAAGGATAACCAAAATGTTATATAATATGTATTTATAAGTGAATAAATACTAACTCGAGCTATGGGCATGACCACTGATCGAAATGCTGCCAAATACTCGGCATCGCCTAGAGGCGGTTGTAGACCACCGCTCCATGCAATGTTTACATTATATCCAAGGCCATTCCCGACGCCGCACTAAATTTAATTTACATTTACCACTCAACTATTTGCTGCATGTTTTGAAACAAAATAATAAATACCTCTGCAGGAGCTCCTGTTCCAGGAAAAAAATTGCCATCGTCATGTCGATGAATTGATAGATACAAAACATTCCTGTCTTCGTAAAATATTTGTTGAGTTCCATTGCCATGGTGGACGTCCTAAAAAAATAGAATGAAATATGAATTTTGTTCTTTTATTTAACATTAAATAACTATATTGGGACATACCCAATCGACGACAAGAATCCGTCGTACAGCTTGTCTTTGTTGAAGCAAACGACATGCAACAGCAATTGAATTGAAAAAACAAAATCCCATTGCTTGGTTGGCTTCGGCATGATGCCCAGGGGGTCGGACAATTGCAAAGCCGTTTTTGATATCACCCATAAGAGCTGTACATATAAAAAAAGCAACAATTGATTTGAACCAAATACAAATAAGCATAGACTAAAGTAGTAATATTGGTAATTCTCAAGCAACTTTAAACTTAAATTAAAAAAAAAAAACAAAAAAAAGAATTCGTAATCGGTAGGTATTAGATAAGAATATGCAGAATGAAATGTTGCTTCATATAACTTTATACTATAAAACTGTTTTTTCACCTGTTATAGTACAAAAGATAAAACAAATATTTTATTTTTCAGTTCATATTGAATGGTGGCCATCAAAGTTGATACTTTTATCGTCTCAGCTAATTTTACAAACAATAGGAGAAACAAAATTACTTTTAAAAGCTAAATCGACTACACATCCAACAGCCATTCGAGCAGCTGAGGCTGTATGCAAATCATTCCAAGTAGTGTCTGAATCAACACCCAATCCACCACAAGGTAGTCGTACTATACTTTTTAATGGTAACTCTGCTAGTTTGGAACCATCAATTTTTTGATGATTCAACGGATTAGTACCTAAGCATAAAAAACAAATTAATTAAAACAATACATTTTAAATAATAGATTAATTGATAATTCAAGACAAACCGAACAGAAGCGTATGGGGTTCAGAATGACAGGTTTGCAATTCTTCTAGGGTAGCTTTCCGTGGTCTAAGCCTATCACATTTTCTAGCCAACCCAGTTTCGATTAATCGAGCCCAAACACTTTGCAATCGACCACTGTGCTCGGGATGCAAAGAGTTGTTGCCGCATTTGCAAGCATGTTTTAACATTAGACTGTCAAATGCTAGTCCCGTTGTCGGTCGATGGGGACTTCTGAAATATTAAAAGTAATATTTAATTTGACATATATTTTATTTGCAATCGTTAATGATATTAATGGATGGCGAGCAAAGCTTACCCAGACAGTTTATGTAAAGAAGAGTTAAGGCTAGTAGAAGAAAGGTACGATGATGATGTACTGGATGCATCTGAGGTAATTATACCTCCTGGGTTAACACCAGCAACCAAAGGACTTGAGAATGTTCGAACTAAAGGAATAGCTACATTGGGATTTCGGTTAGCAAAAACTGAAACTAATAAATAAGTAATATTAATTTTAGTAATGCTCGTTACATTTAAATACATACCATCGTTTGACTGTGACGTTTGTCTCATCATTAAATCTCGCTGTTGTTGAAGAAATGACTGACTTTTGTTCTTTAGACCATTATCTGTCGACGTTCGGGGACCACCAGTCAAATCAATTACCTATTTAATGACAAAAATTAGTAGTAAGTATTCTCCTCGTCATATTTTATGTTATGTTACTAGTTTAAGTACCTTAGCGTCATCTTCTTGATCTTCATTGATAAATGAATTATTCGCCAAGTGTGCTCGACTACCAGCTCTAGTCAAAACAGTGTTTCGAATTTGCTAAGAAAAATATACACACATAAATAAAGAAATAAACATCTTTCAAACAGTACAAATTTGATAGCCTTACTTGTTTCAAATAATTGTGAGCGCTAAGCTGTTGGAGTGGTTCATAATCTTCATAATGAACACTAAGGTGTTGACCAGGGGCTATGTTATTTAACATTGGATGACCAAGAGGTAGAGGTGCTGACTGTGTCCGACCTAGTGGTCTATGTCCGGCTTTATTCAATCGTGCGTGTGCCACCTGAGTATCGGTAATAGGAGCAGGATGAAATGTTGGCGCTGTAGATTGCCTTGATTCTAAGCTTCGCATTTGTTTTTGAATAAAGCTTTGAGATGTATCCAATACTGTAATGATATATATATATATATATATATATATATATATATACAAATTTTGATTAAATTCATTATACTTGTTTAACATTTAAAAGAGCTTACATGGAAGTGTAGGATAATAGGGTAATGTACTCGATAACATTTGTCCTGTTAAAGGTATACCAAGCCGAGCTGTGAATGCAGCACGAACTTCAGCTTCAGAAACTGAAGTTAATTTTGAACCATCCTAAAAAACAAATTAATTACAAAATATAGTTTTATACAGAACTAAATTTAAGTTATTAACAATATTTTTGCTAAATTTACAGTACCTAAGTGTTTATTGTTTAATTATATTTAGGTGAAAAAAGGATGTAAGAATGTTTATGGTTGTATGTAATTTTGTGTAACTATATTTAATACTTTTTTCTATTTGGTTGACTTAAAAATAACAAACATATTATAATAGCAATTATCATAAAAATAATTTACCGTATTTGATGGAGGTCTACCGAGTGATATATTAGGCATTGAAGGACTCGTGTACAATGCGGAAAGATCAGCAACACTACTACTCTGGTCAGTGTTGTTGTTGGACATATGACCAAAAGTCATGTCGGTCTCCTAAAATAAGTTATATCACGAATTAGATTAAGTTGAATAAAAATAAAATTTATTGTTACTTCTTTAATTGGAGTCGTTGCTCCGGTAGAAGGCGAATTTCGGCAGTTTGATGATATAATGATTGGTGGCGAATTAGGTCCAGAACCAGGAGTACTACCAGAGGGTGATGTCTCAACTAGAAAATAAAATCACAACTGTATTAGTGCAAAATATTATGATGATTAACTGTTAGTAAAAGAAGAAAAACTAGTTAGTAAAATGGTACGGTACTTGCAAGTTTAGAAACTCGGTTGCTGGTTCGGTCTTTAGGTCGTGCGATTGGATTGTTACGTCTGTCGAACATGCGCTGTTTCAGTCTCATTTTGAGTAAATTTGGTTCAGACGCTGCATGCAATAATATGTTTAACACACACACAAAACACACTAAGTTAGTAAAATGGATATATTAAAAATGTTAAAACTAAATACTTAAAAGGCGTAATGAGTTTGTTATTACCTACATAGTACTTATGTTGTTATTATTAGGCAATTATTTAAGTAATTATAATCATATTGGACATTTAAATTTGATAATTGATATGGCTTTTTTTTAAACCAACCATTGTTATTTTTTACAAATAACATTTATTTATAAGTATATAAAATAACAGGACTTTGAAAACGCACAAGTTTGTATATGTGATAATGAGCAAATCATTTGGGCAATTTCCGCTCTTAAAGTTAACTTAACTTGTATTAAACTTGCTAATTAAATTCTCTAAGACTTTATTAATTTTATTATATATAATTATTACAACCGAATAAACTTTAAGTTGAGGATATATACATTTGTGTTTAATAGTCTCATCTGTTTAAAGAAAATATAGTTATTAGTTAGCTAAAATACAACTGTAAAAAATACAGTTATTTTAATATAGATCAAGGTCTATCATAGTAGAAATTAAATATACATTAGTTTCATAAATATTGTTCAATTTGTATTTTTATTTAATTAACCAGTACTATACTATTGTTAGGAATATTTAAAAGAATATTCCTAATCACCATTTTGTTATTTTTCATAATAAGTTTATGAAATGTATGGCTGTACACCCATGGATTAAGCAATTGAACTCATGATTATTGCACTAATTAATTTCAATTTGAAGATGAAAATCAATCAAAAACTTCTAAGTATTAAAGACTAACAAACTTATAGCGTATTTATATTCCTATTTAAGACAAGTATGTAAAAGATACAGTAAATAGATAAGTGATGACATTCTCGAGACCAACCTGTTTTTCTTAATGGAAAATCATCTTCGTACCGACCAACAAGCCTGTAGGGAGTTATGTTTGATCCACTAGAAGAAGGACTTAGGCTACTAGGCATCACATTTGGCTCAGACTGTTGGGATTGTAAAACGCCCCTGTGGAACATAAATAAATAAATAAACAAAATTACAATATTGTATTAGGGATATACTTACCAGCTTAGGTACGGCTTTTGAGTTTGTGAAGAGCTGCTGGAGGCAGATTCCCTGTGTTTCTTACTTAACAAGAATCCCTGAAAAATATAAATTTATTATTAATACAAAATACACACATTCAGAATTGATAGGTTCAAACAAACCTTAACATAGGTTTTGATATAACTAATTAATATATTTATTTTAACTATTCGGCTAAAAAATTATAAAATATAATTATCGAGTGTAAAAGTTATTAAAAGTAAATAAATATGATTACGTTTTTAAAAATCGTTGATCTCATTAATCACTATTGATTTAAGCTTGTTTTAAAGAACTAACCGATTAATGATTATGGGAATAATTTAAGACAATTTTTACAATTTAAACGCGATTACAATATACAACGTATACAATATACATAGATAAGCCTTTATGTAGTATAAGCTAGGTAACGATGAACTTAATTGATATTTTACAATAATACAATAATTTCAATTTCAAAAAAGCCAATACAGTGAGATCGGGACAGTGATAAAATCACTTTCAAATAAACAATTAGATGCGAATATGTAAGCGGTACATACAAAAATATTGATGAAAGCATTATAATTACAATAATGTGCTTAAAATTGTATGTTGAGTATTAGGGTTGTTCGTCAGTCTATAATAAATTGTAGCTATATGATTAAACTATTTATTAGAGACCTGTTGACCGTTGATTCAATCTTATATATCAACCTAGAAATTTACTACGGCCAAGAGTAATTTTCCTTAATTTATAGGGGTTTCCTTAGTTAAAAAAAAGTCTGACAAAACATTTTTGAGAAAGATTTGATTGCGATAATTCCTTTGAAAATCTAAAGTCAATTTTCAGACCTTAAGTCACAAAATTACACTCAGAAAAGCTAATTAAAAGTTTCCACCCGTTCAGATAGAGGTGTTTTTTACTGGTTTGACAAGGTATATCGATAGATCTTCATAGTAGAAATTTATTTCGTAGAATTCGATTATTTAAAAAAAATGTATAGTGCATCATAGTTTTAAGTTGAAAAATATGTTGGGTTTTTCCCATGATATGAAGAGAGAGGCAATTTTTTTTTTTGGCACAATAAAGTGCCATTTAGGTACGATTTTTGATAAATAGAGAATAGACTTGCTACATGAAGAAATCGGTTCAGCGGAGAGATATCGTGAGTTCACACACAAAAATAATAAATACAAGTAAATAAAACACAAAATAATTGTAAAAACAGTACCCCTTCTTAGCTCCGCATCGAAGCTAAACATTTTCACAATAAAATATAGCCATATTTTTAAATGAAACATATATTTGCCCTTTCTGATGCCACACAGGGTATGCAGCTTTACGCCTTCTATGCACTTCTATTTTGTACGGGAATATGTTTTTGGTTTCCATGGTATTTATTTTAAACGTATGCACCGTATATTAGAATAGAAACCTTATAGCAAAGTCAAACTTCCAAACCGAAGCTAAAATATAGAAGTTTAAGTAAACGAGCTATTACGGACAAGGAAGGTTTTGATGTGCTCAATGGGGTTGGTTTTCATTGTTTTTAAAAAGTGATTACAAACAAATAGAAAACTTACGTTCTCGCCATTATATATAATTGGTAACATAAATAGTTTATCTATAAATATATAATAGTAATGATTTTTTATAATCAAACAAAAATGTATGTACTGTCAATGTCTAATAAGAGTTAAGAACTTGATTTCTTTTTTATGAAGTCAATTTTAGTTTCGACGAACAACTTGTGTAAACGAGAGTAAATTAAATAATTGTTTATTTTTATTTTTACATTTCAATGTATATTATGTACTTAGATGCAATGCTTTATATGCTAACTAATACACTAGCACTGTATTACATTGTGATTCACATTTATCGTTTGATAAAACTAAAACAACAGATGCACGTTTTAACTATAAAAATAAATACGCCTCATGTTATTGGTAACGCAACGATTTGGCAAAACATTAACAACCTAAAATATGGCAAACAAAGTCTACCTATTTGAGGTAAGATATGTAATCAAGAGATTATAATTTATGACAATAATGAAGGGCACGCGAATAAAAATTATTAACAATTGAAGAGCACGCGGTATAAAAAAACAATTGAAATTTATACAGAAGTAATCGGTTAATACTATTGTTTGCGGCTTATGGAATTTCACAATAGGTAAACACTCGAGAATTTAGATAAAGTAAAAAAAAAACACAGTAAAAAAAAAATAATTATCTTATAATGGTAACGAAAAAAAATCCATTTCTTTTTGTACACTTACTGCACCTCATTTTTTTTAATCAGCAAAACAAGATTGGAAAATCAACCTAAACGACTAATGCTTAATTTCAATTTGATAGTACGTTAGTTTTGAGTATTGGCGCGGAATAGAATAGGTATTACATAATATCAGTTACCGGTTAACTTCGCTTACCACTCTGGTGAAGTACATTATACTATTTAAGTATAAGCTTGTCAAGCGTAAACATTATGATTATATGATTTGAAAATTAATACTTCAACAATTGTTTTTTATATTTAATTAAAATTATGTATGTTATAAAACTATGCAGGTTATCATAGGGGTAGCAAATACAAACATTTTTAAAGCCATTTGTCAAAAATAGAAATATCATAAAGAAAAAATAATTTTTGAACACTAAAAAAATAAAAGCTACTGGACTAGTTTTAAAATACATTAACTGAACGGCAATATTCCTACTTACATTGAAACAAATTAAACCGAAATATAAAAACATGAAAAGCTTAAAAATAATTATTTTGAACGCGTTTTTTTTAATGATTAGTTTAGGAACTTAACTGTTTAGGAAGTTGTACATTATTGAAATAATGGTAACCTATATTTTAAATATATAAATATTCTTATCTCTTGAATGGTTTAAGATAAACAATTTAAAATAAAATTAAGCGGCTAAGCTTTTTTTAATAAATTAGAGGTATAAAATAATTTTAGTAAAATTCGAGATGTGAAAGGCAAATATCGTACACGGTTTATCATAGAATACCCAATATATTTATTAATAAAAATTGTTTTGTGTATTTAAAGGGACTAATACCTAAGTAACACTTGATAATAAAAATAAGGTTTCGTTAGGATGGACGATGTAATATATCGGAGTCACTAATGGTAACGTTATAATTTGTATTGATGATGGTACTTTAAAATTAAACGTCATCACTTAAGCAGTGCAAATAAAAAAAATGATTTCGAACAGCTAGATGCGTTTTTTCAGGTAATTAGTGCCACTCAGGATTTGACACTTTGTTAAAAATAACAATATTTTGTCTATACTACGATACCATACACTGTAATTTGTACATAGTTTTTATCAGTAAGTTTGAATGTTTAAGTACACAATGTATAATATAATATATATATGCTATGATTCCAAAATAAATGATTTCACTATAATTTGTTTTAACTTTTACGATTATTTTTATGCAACACTAGAAAGACATTCGAATTAACATAATAATTAGTGTTTGAAATATTTTTCGTGAAATATTGGATTTTTAATAATTATTTCACTATTTGGCCCTGCTGCCTTACAGACATAAGCTTCCCGCCAATTTAGGAGATAACTAGAAAACGATATTATCATTTTTCAACGTGCAATCACTAATCACTATGCACATTAAAGTGATTTAATTTATAAGTACACTGTGGTAAAATGGGCAAACTCAATTGACAATCACCATGATTTCATTAGCAAGAAAACTGTGATCTTCATAACAATTAACATATACCTAATATATTTTTATTTAAAGTTTTTTTTTATATATAATTTTATTGTTTTTTTTTTTATAAAAATAAATGTTATCATGATTCATGAGCAAGAAAACCATGATCCTGAGTATTAACATATTTGATTTTATTATGTATTTTTAATTTTGACAGGCTGTAATAAGACAAATTATAAAGAAATTTTTTTTTTTATATGTCAGTTTAATATTTAATTCGTTTTATTTAACTATTTTATAAGACAAAAAATAAAAAATAATAATTATATTAAAAATTGAAATATTTCAAAATGTTTAATTTCATGAAATTTTCAAACGCCAATAATAATTTATGTGTATATATATTTATGTTCACACAAAGATCATTATTATGTTCAAACAACCAATTACTAGTCTTGTACACACAGACATTTGTAAGGGATATTGTTCAATATTTCCCTCTCGGTTTATGCTTATACAATCAAAAGAACCCAAATACGGCGAAAAAAAATAAGATTTACAACGTCAACCTTTATCAACGGTAAAAGAGTAAAATATATAGAAAAACTTTTCTCGTTAAAATAACCAATGGGGATTGTATGCTGTATGCCTGACAAACGATACTGAACTATAATTATATTATGATTGTAATAACGATTACAGGGAAAATTAAGATTCTTTGTTTTATTTATGCTATAGTTTTGGTAAAAGTTAGTCCGGGTGAAGGATGAAATTGAGCATTTAAGAATTGTCATTCTTTATCTAAGATAATATATTTTAGAAGAGGAATGGCAAAATTAAAAAATGTATTAAAAAAAGTTACTGGCCATTCATTGGTATGCCCTTGATTATTATTATTATTAGTTTTTGCTTCATTAGACATTATAAAAATGCATGACGTTAAATTAAATAGGGCAAAGCGAATGCCAGACAAATAATCTAACTGCACAGGATAAAATTCATTATTGATATTTTTAAACTATTACATCTAAATTATTACAACTGCATAAAGATAAATAATATAAACAGTGATAATAATTATTATAACCCAATTTAATTTCAAAACCAATTATAACAAAAATGTAATCACCATTGGAACAAGATTGAAATAATATATACATAAAGTACTTAAGAATGATCATTTGGGAATATTTTAAAAGCTAAAACTAAAATAAATTGTATTATACGTTTCTAATATGAACTTTTAAAAAAAATGTGAGTTGTATAATCGAATATTAGCCCCCACTTTTATAAAAAAAAAAATGTTATCATTTCATGATCAGCCAGAACAACTAGAACTAGTAATAATACTGTACCAGTATATAAATAATTGGGATACTTCGCACACCTACCACCTAATTAGTATTTTTTCATTATACCAGACAGCTATACACAAGATTTAAAGACATGAAGAATAATTGAAGAACTAGGAGCAACAACAAGACATGTCCTTTTTTCTTCAATTTTTTTTTTCAAAACGTTTTAAATTCCAGAAAATTTTTTTTTTAGAATATTTTGAAGAATTTTTTTTGGAGTTTAATATGTTTTAAAAAAAAAAATGTTTAAATAATTGTTCTTTTATAATACATTTTTAAATTTTAAGTCAAATTCTGAGGGAGGAATGAATGTATCATTAGTACTATTAGTGTTTAAGCTATTTAACATTTTAGCTACCGAGTATAAAATTAGAAGTATTAATAAATAAATGCGTATGGCGTATTGACCGGGAGTGGCTATGGCTAACTTTATGCCAGTTCGGTCGCCGGGGTGCATGGCATTTCAGACATGCATTCGGGGTTGATAGTATGGGTCACCGCTAAAAATCCCACTAAATTTAGAAGTACTAACACAACATCATATCGTGATTATAATATTTTAATATAATATGTAACTATTTCACTGAAAGTCCAGTTCATATGATGCATTACCTGGATTTAAAACTGGAAACGGGGGAGTGAAGGTCTAACACTCATTATTATCATTGGGTTAGGTTAGACTAATTTAAGGGGATTTAATACCGAACATTTTTAAGGAGTTTTGTATAAGCATTATTTAAGAAAAAAGTGGTTTTAATAAATTTCGACCATGTTAATTAGCTTACCGGTTAATTTGTATAAGCTTGATGGTATTATTTTTAATTTAAATCGTTTTGGCTATAAGTAAAAGCCATTTTAGTTAACATAATAGTACATTTTTTGTCCATCGCACAGTCCGAACCAGTGATCCGATTAGTAATCTGAAAACAGATTTGAATTCGTTATGCAGTTTACTTGGGATCCTACGAGGTACTTTGTTGATATTTTTTCTTACTATGAATAAAACAAATTTGAATATTTTATAACATTTCAAATTTTAAAATCAAATTTGAAAAGGATTAAAATTCAAAATTGAAAAAAGTGCCTTGTAGTATCTCAAGTAAACTTCATGACGAATTCAAATCTGTTTTCAAATTACTGATTCGGTCTGTGCGATGGACAAAAAATGATGTGTTTGACTGAAAAAACGGCCGGTATCGAATCTCTTTAATATAAAAAGTCAAGACTGAGGCTTTTAACAAGTTTGTAACTGGTTTACAAGCAAATATACTATTTGACAGTAAAGACTAATGAGTTATGAGCAATGAAATTATGAACTATCGAAGAAATATTCAACGTGAATTGTGAAGATAACATTAAACGATAGTCCTTCAATTATAATAAATGCAAATGTAAGGATCGTGGTTTTTAGTTGGCGCAAGGTACACCTTCTGAGAAATTAAAATTATTTTTTTACTAATTAATAGACTATTAATTTATATATTATTAATAAGTTTTAAAGAATTTAAAAAAATGTTTACCATATGAGGTAATATCACTGGATTTTATTCTCTATGAAATGACTCATTTCATTTGTACTTCAGTATTCTTGTTATTTCAAATGACACATTTCATGTGATACACTGTTAAGTTCTTATACAAAATGGCTTATTACTTTAAAATGAATATTATAACTTTCATTACTTAAAATAGTGTACAAACAAACGAATGAGGCTGACCAACAAAAAATACATAACTATGTATATGTTAAGTATAAACTGACTAGATTAGAACATCACTATCATATAAATTGGCCAAGAAATTAGCAAATTAAGTATAACAGTAGTTTTAATATCGTAACAAAAGTAACGCATTATTGTAAAGACGTTATTTTTTTGTTAAATTTACGTAATTTCATGGCATTTCGTGCGAAGTATTTAAAAACAATTTTGACTTCACTTTATAAGTAATTAACAAAGTGAAAAAGAAATTATAAAATTAATTAATTCTACTTTAAAGTTTAGCAAATATAATTTGTTTGTTTTAGAAAATATCAGCTTTAACTATTTAGTATTAAGCTTTTAGCTTATTATGACAATACAAGTCAAATCAAAACTTTTTTTTTTAAGATAGACTTAAGAAAAAATCAATAACTATGTGGTAAAAAGTAACGTCAAAGTATTTCTTTACTTTTTTGGAATTAAGTTAATTTTAATTGTATTTCACAAGTAACGTAATGAATCAAGTAATATTATTGAATTTCAAAAGTAATTTGCTCATGACGGCTAAATAACGGACAAGGCGTTTGTCAGAATACACAAACATTATGATATATTTTATTCGTATGTTATAATATTTAGTAATGAGAAGTTTTTTTTTATTGGCGCTGCACGATTTAGCTAAAAGCCGCCTATTTAAAATAATTTATTAATTTTATTTTTAGTAAAAGAAAGGCTTATACAGAGGCAAAGAGGCCATTCCATTGTCAACGGCATATGGAATCTATGCTGTTTCAAAAGACAATATTATACTAGCGGGGAAACTATAGCACGTTACTCCTAAAGCTCCACCGGCGCAGCCAAAAGTACCGCGTTTAAAAAGTACAATATTGCCGACGTACCTGTAAAATCTGTTTGACTTCGGACGATGCGATGGCGCTTTGTTCGTGTTTTTCTTTTTTCTTGATCGTCTCCAGTTTTTCCTCTTCTTTCCTTTCCCGCTGCTCCTTTTCTTCGAGTTCTCGCTTCTTTTCCCACAGCTCCTGCATAACGCATGACTATACATTATTTATGTAGGCGTCCTGTCTGGCCGCCGTCCGGAGATAATCAACAGCCTCTCCGGACATATTAATATTATTATCTCAACACACGATTAGTAGCTTATGCCACCTCTATATTTTTCTCTTTCGCTAACTACACTCGTTGACGTCATTAAAATGATAATAATGATAATAATAATAATAATAATAACAATAACAACAACAATAATATATTATAGAAATAATATGCGCCTCCCGGTCTGTGTGCACATATTTTGTAATCGTAATACGGTCAGACAGATGTGTCCGGAAAGAATGCACGCACCTAACCTAACACACGTAACACACGACTAAACCAAAAACGCCTCTAAAATATTATTTCACACATCGACATATTTTATTCAACAACTTCTCTCTATACTACGTCAGCGCTACAGAACAATACACACACAATGCGATTACAACACCGGGTTATTTTAGAGATTAGGAATTAATGGAGATTATAAACGTAACATATTTTTATTATTTCTTCTACGACTTGGTAAAACTATCTCTCACATTCACCGTTTTCTTTTTACATTGTGTTCCGACCAAAGGCGCCGAGTACATAGGGACAATAGGGCAACTGATCCCCACAAATAAATGTATGCCACCCCCCATGAAAATAGGTATAAAAATGTACACAAGTATTGGTAATATTACATTTTTTTCGCCATTTATTATATAGACGATAATAAAATAAAAAAATTTAATTTTGATAACGATAATCGAAAAAAAAGTTTCTCATATTATTATGAAGTGCGCTTTGATAAACGGCTGCACTGCAAATACCACGTGACCATTATTTCCTTTGTCGATTCTGATATCCCTTATCAAATACAATGACAATATAATTTTTTTAAATAATGTATTAATAGGGTCCTATCACTGGATAGGTTCCCTACCCAAAGTCTCCAAGTCACATATTTACATCGTTAAATATTTGCTTATTGTATATTTTATGTATAGATTGTAAATGTTTTGAAAAAATAAAAAAATAAAAAAAATAATGTATTTGGTAAGCTAATTGTTAAATTTTATTTGTATTAATAATATGTTAACTAATTAAACATAAAACACAAATATATAAATAATATAAAAAATGTTTATGCTAACACTTGAAGTACACGAATTGGGGAGGGGAGAATTTAGATTTGTTAATTTACTATTCCCCTGGGTCTACTTCAAAATCTTACTAGTTCGCGAAATTTTCTAACTTGGCGCCCATGATCCCGACTCCCGTTCTCGTACTCAAAACGCGCCCAGTAAGTCAATATTAACTTCTAGAAGCATGTTTTTTTTAAAGCTTACTTTGAGATGTTGCCGAAGTTGCTGTTCGTGTTGTTCGGCCAACTGCTGCTGTTGTGCTTGGAATTGTTCCAGCAGATATTGTTGTTGAAGTTGTTGCTGCTTTTTTAACTAAAACGTTATAAACATACACAACGCAAACGTTTAAATCCCATATTATACTGGGGTCGGTAAACACAAAACACACGCACATAATTTAACGGTACATTAGGTTCAATAGTAATTATGAAAACACGCTAGGAATTTAAGTATTTTACGTTTTTAACACCTAACAAACGTTTCAGAAAAAATCGAGAACTACCAATAGCGGAAGAGGATAATAAAGGTGGTTTTGTAAACATACAAAAATTCTGAAAACTGACAAATAAACTGACTGTTTTTTTAGGATAACGAATTGGTAAATATAATGTGTACAAATATGATGTACACATCACATTTGTAACCTTACCTCCCTATTTTATTTTGTAAATAAAGGTTCTAAGATTGTTTTAAAACTATACAATCATAGATAAAATGCTTAATGTACATACATATGAAATAAAGCAACCGTTTAAAAAGAAAGTAAATTTTCATTTTAAATATTAATTTTTCAAATTGTATGTTGTATTTTTATATTTAAGAGACATCCGCTTTAAAACAAAACAAAAAAAAAGTTTCAAAAACATTAAAAGGTTAGTTACATCAGTTCACAAAATGTCCTAGTTCAATTTTGACTTTATATATTGTTATTTAGCATATTGAAGTGTCTTAACATATTATTTTTAAATTTACTTTATATAAAAACCCACTATTTTTGGCGCCTCTGTACAGAAAAATATAATTATAATTATTTCATAAGGAGGCGTTGAAAAATATCCTCAGAAATTGCTATCTCAGAAAGGCAGTACAAAAATCACTATTATTACAGCCGATCAAACGATATAGCAAGTCAGGTTAGGTTTAGTAAACTTGTAGTATAAAATATTTTCAAAATTTTATTCAAAAGCATAAAACGACATAGTTTGATATAATTAGTATTACATTTCTTATAAAAACAAGGTAAAACTAAAATTTATAGTTTCCGTATTTAATATTCAACACAGCAAGGGAAGTACGCATGGGATATTACTAACGTTTTAATAAAAAAAAGGTTTAAACAGACGATTCAACAGTGTGTGAATAGAAACGGAGTAGCTAGATTTCTATCATGTTTATCATCATAAGCAGGCATCGCTAGACATAATAGTAATTATCCAACAATCTTTATTTCTATTTAATTTAATAGCTATACGATCCTATGAAAACTACTAGTAGACTTCATACACTATATAGTACTTAAATAATATATTCTAAAGAGCACTATACTCGGAAGTAGTTGTAATTGATTGCGTTTATTTAGTTGTTTATCTCTGCGATATAAATAAACTATTGTTATTATCGGTTCTACACACGAGTGACAATGAGGAATTGGTCTTAAATGAATTATTTATTTATATTAATTTCATTCTAGGAGAAATGGGTTGCCAAGAAATTCGAACGAAACTAGGTGGTACACGAATAATATAAACGGCAAAAACGTATTCGCGAAAAGAAAAATAACAAGTCGCTTTATTTCGAGCGAGCACAATTATTTATATTTTTCTAATGAATGCTAAAAATAACTTGGCGATAGCTTTTTCTATTTTTTTTTTTGGCGTGAATAGCTCGGATGAATAATAACCGTTATTATTACAAGAGAAGCGTATTATTATTATGGTATTTCACACACGAGCTGTTGACGGCACAAGCTATAGATTAACTCGTGTTGTAGACCGACACACACCGTAGTGTTATGCGCAAATGTCTATGGATACTGTGTGAATTAAAAAATATATATTATTAAATTTTATTTTGCGCGTTTGTGTTTAAATTTTATAAATAGCGAATACTTTTTTAAAGCCCACAAAAGATCTTTCTAAATCTTTAAAATAGTAAATAAGATTGGTAAAACATGATTATAGTACTATTGCTCTTTAATATTTTGTTTTTTCCCTATACTCGTAGGTGATGTACAAGATTAAAAAACGCGAGGTATTGTTGTTTTCTACACTTATTGGGGGTTGTACACTTATTTTTTAAATTATAACCAAAAAGGGGTTTTGACAAAATAATGAATGTAATGAAATAAAATTGTTGAAAATGTAAAAATCGTGTTTCGAAATCACTTAACATATACTTGCGAGGTATAGATTTCGTCTGGATAAAAAAAAAGCTATGATTTTGGTAATAATCATTTTTAACTGATGCCCTGCAATTAAATTAGAATTCGTGTCTAGCCGATACACCATGAACAATTTCATAACAATTTTACGATTTATACTTGCTCTGACATTCTGAAAACAACAACTCAATATTTCGACTAGAGATATTACAGAGAATTAAACTCTACTCACCTCCAATATCTGATGGTGTATGGCGCTTGCCTCGTGGACGAGGTTGGTGGGTCGAACCAACTCCAACGGTTTGTCACCCAACGCGTCTTCCGTGTTGTAGCTGCTCACCATCGATTCACGAGTCATTTCTAAATGGAAGCCACACACACGAGCATTAAATCAAATTGCCACGTTTATTTGTATTATTATTATTTCTATCAAGTACTGTTCAAAAACCGAAGGCGTATAGTGGAAAGACGACTAGGCGTCTCTCGTATAACGAAATATAACCACCAAGACCGTACCGGCCGATTATAAAGTTTACACTATATGAATAAATTTTCATAAACCTAAGGATTCAAGGCGTCGAGTAGTAACTAGTAGAGACGAGTGTGCTATACTACTTACTAGTAGCACGTTGCTAGCCGAGCAGAGCCAATTCCACATACACACATACACAACGGCTAACCCCACCAAAAAACCTACCAAGCGCGCTATTATAATAATATTATGTACGTTCACAGTCATTCGTACCCGCGGGCGTCCGGTTAAAAAACTGTTCCGGCCAAAATGTTTTAACGATATAATGTGTTTAGTCAACGGCAGCAGACAACGATTTAAGAAAAAAACATGTTCTCGTTGTATGAAATGATTAAAACCGAAACACACCTGCTGTCTCAATGGTCAGACCACACATAATTACCATCGAAGAAATTAAATATAAATAAAAACCGTATTAAAATGTTGTAAAGTTCGGTCATACCAGGTACATCATGAGATGCGTTTCGAGGGGATGTGGAATGCACGAGGAAAATGGGAACTACTAAGTGGGTATTATTATTACAGCTATAAAATACCATTATTTGAAACTCTCAGTTGATTGTTCCGTTCCCAAATGAAATTCCGAACAAGTCATGAACCCCAGCTGAAAACTCCGAAAGAAAACGTTCGTATGTCATGAAAAACACGTTTCTATTCACCGGTGTCAATTGGGATATTGTAGTATGTCTTTTAAAAGGGATCCGGTGCCGGCTAGTAATTAAGGGAAGAAAATATAGACAACATTTAATACATTATCTTGATTACGATTCACTTAACATAATTTCATAGTACTTTGTATTACCCTAAGAGTAAGTTATTTTAAACATTTTTTATTTTTTGTACAAGTCATTTTAGTAGTGTAAAATTACTTTAAATAGGATGAAAATCGTAAAATGATAAAAACAATTTTTTTTTAAACAAGTAAAACAAAAAACAACTTGTACTGCAATAAAAAGAAAAATTTATTTTAAGTGACGGTTGTTGATGGTTTGTAGAAATCATTAAATCTGAAAGTGGAAAAATACACTTGCAATATTAAAAACGGTTATATGAGAATACGAATAGATGCGACATTTGTACCCGTTTGTTTTCTTTTACCCTCATGTAAAAATTACAGATTTTAGAAAAGTTTTCTAAAAACGTAACACCTATTTTTACACCTTAAAACTGAGCTTAGAAGGGAATAATAGCAATGTGCACATTTCAACAAATATCGTGTTATTAGGGCACAGGAAAGTAAACTCCATGTCCATTTTTTTTTATGTTGGGTTAATGGTATCATTCATTGGTACATTAGGACTATTGTACAACGTAAGAGGTCAATTCAGTGAAAAAAAGGTTACAACGGAGCCAAACTTGGCGCCTTAGAATGGGTGACATGTAGATTTGACAACTAAATTTGTTTTTGCTCTCTTAAAAAATTGTCGAATATGAACAAATACCCTTCTTCCTCTTTAACTTGTTTTCGAAAAATTATAACGGTCTAAAGCGACTGACGAATCAACATTGAATATGAAATATCTATTGATATAATAATATTAATATAATAAAATTAATATATAATATTCAAAAGCGATTTTAAAATTTTGATAAAATATATTTTTGATCTATTAAAGATATTCTGCAACCAGAATCTTAGAATTGTTCAGATTAACCGGCTGTTTATAATCTATTAACAAAACAAATAAAAACAAACCACCTAACAGAGTTAAAATTATACTGCCTGCTCTGTACATTGTTAGTTAGTAGTTAAGGTCGAGTATTTAAATATGTAAATCGTGTAAGGAATACCAGATAACCTACTGAAGTTCTACCCATACATTGTATGTTGTTACTTCATTAATATGTGAACGCACAAAACGTAATCATATAATAATTGTTGATACGAGATAAAAAATAATAAAACCAACCTAAGAAATAATTTAATACAAAGTAACTCCGTGACGGGTGGTGGGTAATTACAGAAGGCAATTATAACGTTCAACGAAATTGGGCGTTTTTCATTTAAAGTACCTACCTATATCATTGTTCCCGTTTCTCATTAAAAGAAAGGTGTCGGGTGAGTAGCATTTTTTTTTATTCAATGACTACGACGAGCATAAATTACTGTTTTTCTCCCAAACAATAATAGCTGTCTAAAAAAAATCGAGAAAATAAGTTTGACCGGCGTTTTTTTTCGTATTTCACAGTAGCATGCACAATCATTTTCGTTGCAGTAGTCATTGATTTTATCTTGACCGCATAATATTGCGGGCGTCCGCCTACTTCGTTCTCATAAATGTAACCATAGACTAGTAATATAAACCATTACATATTATAATCAAAAAACATAATGTTTTATTAATAACATATATTAACGATCCGATATTAACCATTAAAAAACTGTTGGAAAAAAACAACATTATCCTTATTATTTACTTTTGTCGTAAATATTTCGGGGAAGTTCCTCTGGTACCGAACAAATATTATCAATTTACATATAATTAATAACACAATTCGAAAAAAACGGCTTTAACAGGGAAAAATAATTTGGTCGAACAAACCTTTTCGCTACCGACATGCACACCCCTATATTATACAGAGTGATCCATTTAACATAAGACAGTAATTTTCTTAGAAAATAGTTATAATTTTGTAGTTTTTCTTTCTGAAAATATTTGTATTTATGATTTTGTACAATATTAAAAAAATACCAAATACTTACATACCTTTTTTAGTATTTTTCGTACATATTTATATATTAAATAACTTTTAAAAATAAAAATAGTTTGCTAAAAATGTTGACTGGTCGATAACCAGTCTAGAACAATTACTTTTAAAGTTAACAAAGTTTACGGCGGGAGGAATGGTGGAATTAAGTGTTTTTTTTCCTGTGCGCATTACTCAACCACACTACACCTTACTTTATACATTTTAAACTCCAATAATTTTAAAAGTAATTATTCAGAACCGGTTATCGACTAGTCAATATTTTCAGTAAATTATTCTAATCTAATGTATACGTTTCTTCCATTTAAATTTTAAGAATTGATAGCACTCTAGAAAATACTAAAAAAGGTAAATAATTAGTAATTTTATAACAATGTACAATAACAAGAACAAAAATGTTTCCAAAAATACCTACAAAATTGTAATTATTTTTCGATAAAATGATCTTACGTTAAATAGACTACCGTACGCCTCGTAAAATATGTAAAACGTGGAAAACAATTACACCATCTATTATGGTCCCTAAATACAAAAAGGTCACATGCCAACTGTTATCATATTAAATTTAATAATTTTAAGTTTCAACTAAGTCAACATTACAATATTCTCAACACGCAAAAGTCATGAAAAGTCTAAAAACTATGACTTAATGTGTTTTTCATGAATGAGGTCGATATATTATACTATAGAGGGTTCCTGAGTAGTTCCTATTTTCTAGTAAACCGCCGTATTTAGAAGACGAATTTGAAAAGTGTGTAATAGTAGGTAGGTAAATAAGTACCCCAAATAAAAAAATTGAAACAATATTTCATTACCATTATCATTTTATCAATTAAACTATACTTAAAAAAGAACGTTTTCTATGAATTTATAAATTATAATCTTTTGTAATAATACCGGGTGGTTCTTTTACGCCCTACACTACTAGTTTACTCTTAAAATAATTGCATTTTTGTAGTGTTTCTTTTATAAAACATTAGTTATACTACAATATTAGGTAATATACAAATTTGTATCTTATTTATTAGAGTTTTATCAACTTTTGAAACTTAAATGGTAACGTACCTATATATTTTACTACTATTATACAAAATATAAACAAAAATGTTAAAAAAAAAAAAAAAACTACTAAATATAAATTATTTTAACTGAAAATTGGTCTAGGTCCTAATCTTTAAGAACATTAAAAGAATCACCCGTATATCATTGTATTATTAAAAATATTTACACTAAAAAAAATATAATAATTAATAATATGAACATTTGTATAAGGTAATGTAAACCCATCAACTTAAAATTCATTGAAAGTTATAGTTCATAATTGATAAGTTTATTGTCAGGGTTTCCACTGGTTTTAAATGATTATTTTTCCATAAAAGAAATTTTGTAATATTCATTATTTTAAAAAACACTCTTTCCTTTACGCTTGTATAATACTAATCAAAATAATTACTCTTTTAGTCTTAATACTTTGACTAGTTGCAAGTAAGTTAATGTAAAATTTAATTTAAGTTATTCAGTCACAATACAATTTTTCGTTAGTTAATTAGAATATTATATTTAAGAGGCCAAAAAGACCAATACCACAAAAAACCATTTGCCTAAATGCAATTTATACATACAAATCTCATATAATCTAGGTAGGTACTATAAAAAAAAATTAATAACAGGTACTTCAAAAAAAAAAAAAATATATTTAACGTATAAAATTAGACGTGAATGTATTATATTATAATTATATATACATATATATATATATTCGAACTCTGAAACTACGCGTGTGCGGACTGAATAAATGAAGGTTGGGGGCCAAAGAAATACATAGAACGATTTTTTAATTCTATAATTTTAATTATAGTTTTTAAAAACTATTTTCAAACACTAACCTGTTTTTTGCGATAAATGCGTGAATGCAGAACTGATTTCTATACTGCGAATGGATTTAATGTTATCTGTAACATAGTAAAAAATAAAAACATTAAACGGGTTTTTTTTTATCGAACGTACAAGCTAGAAGTTAAGGTAAAATGTAGTAGAAGAGTAAACCCTATATTTTCGTATACTAATAATAATTATAAATTATAATCAAGAGCTAAAAAATGTGTTGGTGAGTTACCCTAACTGTCATACAATCGATTAGGTACACTTTTAATATAAAAATTAATAACAGATCTATAAACAAAAAATGCTTTAAGCACTAAGGAAATATTATACATATTACATAAATGTAAAAACAATTTGGTAAATTGGCTAGCTGGATGGAACCTATCATGAGAAACAAAATTGAGAGAAATAAAACAAACCACCAAATTATGAACCAACTAAACAGAAATTTGTACTTACACGTTTAAGAATAGGCCACACTTGGTATACTCACAATCACTTAATGTAAGGCAAAAACCCCGAACCATGGGTAACATGCGGTACCGAAAATACTATCAAACATAATATAATACTGGAGTGTCGCAAATATGATGAAACAAGAAATGAACTCGAAATGCCGATTAGCTTACAAGAAGCACTAGGAAACCAACCCCACAACGTATCAAAAATAATTGATTTTTTTAAAATAATAAAACTATGACAAAATTTAATTTATTATATTCTATGTATAGTATAGCTCTTATTCAATCATGTAAATAGAATTAATGTAAAATGTATGGCTAATGACCCCAGAAGTCGAGGTCCTTAATTATAATAAAAAAAAAAGTGTTGTAAATGTATACAATTTATCGACGACGAGTAAAATAACTTGTTGTTTTTATAAAATGACCCGTTATATAATAAGCAATTTTAAACAACTAATATATTCATCAAAACGATTGGCACCAGTCGAAAACTATCTTCACATTTTTACTCAACTGCCAACACTAATTACTTGTAAAAATAATGTTATAATATAAGGTGTGCCTTCGCACGAGTTTAACGGCGTTGGCAAGTGCGAAAATACATAATTTTTTTTGATAAAATATTCTAGTATTAAAAAAATATATTTATAACGAAGTATGGCCCTCGCGTGCAATATTATTTTTAAAAAATATATAAAAATGGTACAATCATTTAAGGACGTTGACATAAGCCTATGTGCGTGCAAAATTAAACATTTTATAATATTATATTTACATAATTTCTAAATAGTTTTATAAGCCCAACTGGTTAACCGCCAAAAAAAAAATAAAAACGTTTTAAATACTCTATTTGATTATAAAAATGCAGGAGGAGGATTTCAAACAATAATTCAAGTATAATATTTATTTCGACTGAAAGATTCATAAAGAGTCAAGCTATTAACTTAAACCCCGACAAGAGGTTGGACCAAAAACGTTAAGTTTCGCGAGTATAATATTTTGACAGTTGTCAAAAGCGTTTTAATCCTACCTATATTACACTAATATAGTATACAAATAACAAGATTTATACCATCTATAAACTTGACCTTTTTTTATTATTATAGTAATAGAAAGGAAGAAAAACGAATGGGAAAAATAAGGATAGAAACGATAGAAGACAGCTACAGAAAAAACTTTACTATGATAAAGGGAATGAAATAAAGATCTGGTTCAAGACACTATCGACAATTATGAGAAGCGAAAATGGCTAAACTAACAAAACAAAAAAATGAAAAATGATCAGAGTTAAAAAACATTTTCTAAAGAATTTTTAATCAACCAACAAAAGTGAGTTAAGAAAGGAAGGTATTACATTTGAACAAAACATAGAGAAGCCTACAAAGGATAAAATTAAGCAAGCAATATATATGTTTAAAAACAAGGGGAGGATAAACTATCTCCGGCCCTTTTAAATATTATTCTTATAGTAAGATAGGCACAAAATTATTGTGCAAGTTTGAAAATTAGAAGAAAAAATGTAGTGATGGCAGCATACACCAATGATATTATCACATTATCATGTGAACAGAAAGGTAAAACAAAAAATAAATAAGAAATACAGCAAATTAGCCAATAGAAGTTCGTCCTAAACATCAACGACAACAAAATTGAATATCTGCGATATCACGGAGGCAAGATACAATTTCAAGATTGTATTTGAAAGGGTACCCAACATTAAATAACTCGGAAAATACGTGAATGAGAGTGCAAATAGCCAATAGGGAATCAACTAATAAATAACAGCGGGAAATAAATGTTTTTTCTCATTAGTAACATTGTTTAAGTCAAAACTACTATCAAGAAGAACAAAAAATAGGCTATATAAAGACCTATCGCACTGTATGCATGTGGGGGCGGGGCGTGGACATCAACAAAAACAGTCGAAAAAATAATAGCAATATTTGAGAAAAAAATACTACAAAGGATATTCGGCCCTAAAAGGAACATTGGTAGTAATGCATATGAATGAAGGACTAACGCAGAGCTAAGGGAAATGTTCAATGAATCCGATATAGCAGGTATTCTAAAAATTCGAAGACTTAGCTGATCAGGACATGTGTGGAGAACGGAAGACAGGTACGTGGTCGCAATGTGAAAACTGGATGGAACAAGGCCTAGAAAACGACCGATGAAATGACTGAATCAGGGAAGACCGCTCATAGGAGTCGAGGATGGAGAAAGGCTAGCGTTGGATGGAAATGCGTGACGAGGTATATTGGAAGCGGAGATGGGCTTAAATGACCTGGAATAAGCGAAAACTAAAAGAAGAAGAAGAAGTAATAAAAAATTACACACACATAAGTATCATTTAAAATACAGCCCTAACCAGCTCTGTCTCAGGTGGTGGAATTCATTACACAACAGCATTGGGTGTAATTAAAGAAAGTTGGTGTGTACAGAAATGTTTGCAAAAGTAATTAAACCGATAAGTCTTCAATCCTCCCAAATCAAATACACTAGGGAAAATACAAAAGTCGAAAACAATGATAAGACATTTTATAAATCGCAATTCTTGTTTACTGGGTCAACCCTAAGACTTTTCTGAGATTAATTTTCACGAGGTTTTTCATTTTCTTTAATCTAGATTGATATCTATACAATAATGTTACACATCAAACTCGATTTTGTGTCTCATCTATTTACGTACTTTATCCAAGATGAGAGAAATACATATATATATATATGACAGTATGAGAGTGGATGTGTACATTAACATTATATAACCTTTAGAAAGAAACCATTCAACGTAACTTATAAATAAAGTAGTTTAATTTCGTAGTCAAATTACATTTAAGCTAAGTAGTATAAAACTGCAATATTATAATAAGTATAATAAAAATAAAAAACAGGACATTATGTCATTATAATGTAACGCAAAAACCACGTCGAATAAAACTAAATCGATTTTTCCACAAGACGCACTTTTTCGTAATAGATGGGCGGAAAAAATAATGCCAATTTAATCAGTTTTAGTGAAAACATTCTTTTTTTTTTCAAGTTTCAAGCAGTTTGTATCCGTTTGCAAAACAAAAATTACAAATTTTAAGGTAGAAATAACTATTCACAAACAATACGGTACCAAGAAGCGAATAATGTGCATAGGGATTTTGTTCTAAATCTTCATCTACTTTTAATTTATCGAAGCTTGAAAAAAACCTAACAGAATTTTTTAATACTAATAATCTAAATACTAACTATTAAAAATGAATGGACCGAGTAACAGAAATTAAAAAACGCTTAAGATAAAATTCTCCTATATTTACCGTGAAAATTCAGTGAGTTTACAACAATTACAAGACAGTTAGGTTTTGATTTTCACAATCCATTTTGAAGGGAAAAAATTATAACTTTTTTCTACAAAAATATGACGATAGTCTAACAAAAAAATAACAACCAATAAACAATCCTCATTACTGTTTTAATAGTTTATAACGTATTAATACTAATACAGGAGCAATATTAAATCAATTCACGATTATAAGTGGACAATAAATACAAAATAAATCGAGGCTAAAAAAACCAACAATAAAAATAACTGGTAAAATATACAACCCTGCTAACTTGCTTTTGATCACTTGCAATCAAGCAACACGAACAAGAATCAAAGGACGTATTAACTTAAATGAAATAAGTTAAAATAGAATCCCGTAGAACTCTTTATTTTTAAAGAACAAATATTGTATGAGGATAAAACGTGAATTACTGAACGGACATTTTTTCCAGGGTAAGTTCTGTTTAAAAACACACTATGTAAGCATAGACCTGTCATAAGCACAGGGCACCTGTATTTATACAGATGTTTTCTGTAAAAGACAGGGTTTATCATTATTTAGGGTTTCTGAAAAATATATTTTTTAACAGCAGAGCTCTCAAGAAAAAATATTATTCATAAATATACTATTTTGATTAGGTATATGTATTTATATAATAATATTATTATTATATATTATTTTTAAGTATATATAAAATATATACATTTTCAGGTAGTTATTGTGTGTTAAAGAAGCTGTTTAATTAATAATTATATACAAAATTAATTTAAGATACGGTCTTGGAAGGTTAGATAATTTTATTGTATTAAAACTAGTGATAGGTATCCGGATTTTTAAAAAAATTCGGATTTCAACAAATCCGAAATCCAAAATCAATTTATCTTTTTTGTGTTGTTTTATTTTTACATTTTCATCAAAAATACTTTACTCAGTTACACAGGTTATATTGTAAAAATAATTAATACTTATACGATTTTTAAGGGGCAAAACAGCGTTTTTTTTTTTTGTGTAAACCCGGATTTTCGGATTTTTGTCAATAATTAAAACACAATATTATCATATTTTTATTAATTTAATTGGGATAGTTTAGTAGAGGAGTACACAGGATTTATTGTATCGATTCTTGATTTGACATTTCCAATTAATAGGGCTCATTTTTAAAGTATAATAACTTGAACCTTCAGAAAGTATGTGGAGTCTTGCCGAAAGACTGATTAAGTACACACTAACAGTTCAACTATTAACATATATCTTATTACAAAGTCCTTAGGAATTCAAGGAATTATTATT